TACCTTGAGGATATTATGATAAATGAAATAAGCCAGTCATAAAAAGATAAATACTGTATGTTCCTCTTGTATGAGGTATGTAAAGTAGTCAAATTTATACAAACAAAATAGAATGTGGTTACCAGAGGGGCTGGAGGAAGGGGGAAAAGGGAGTTGTTTCATGGGTTTAGAGTTTCAGATTTGCAAGATTAAAAAGTTCTGAAGACCTGTTACACAACCGTGTGGGTATGCTTAATACTACTGAGCTATTCTTTAAAAAGGGATTAATATGCATTCTTTTTAATGGCTGAGTAATATTCCATTTTGTATATGTACCACAGCTTTCTTATCCATTCGTCTGCCAATGGACATCTAGGTTGCTTCCATGTCCTAGCTATTGTAAACAGTGCTGCAGTGAACATTGGGGTACATGTGTCTCTTTCAGCTCTGGTTTCCTCAGTGTGTATGCCCAGCAGTGGGATTGCTGGGTTGTAAGGCATTTCTATTTCCAGATTTTAAAGGAATCTCCATACTGTTCTCCATAGTGGCTGTACTAGTTTGCACTCCTACCAACCGTGTAAGAGGGTTCCCTTTTCTCTGCACTCTCTCCAGCATTTATTGTTTGTAGACTTTTTGATAGCAGCCATTCTGACCGGTATGAGATGGTACCTCATTGTGGTTTTGATTTGCATTTCTCTAATAATGGGTGATGTTGAGCATCTTTTCATGTGTTTGTTAGCCATCTGTTTGTCTTCTTTGGAGAAATGCCTATTTAGTTCTTTGGCCCGGTTTTTTATTTGGTCCTTTATTTTGCTTGGGTTGTTTATTTTTCTGGAGTTGAGCTGCATGAGCTGCTTGCATATTTTTCAGATTAATTCTTTGTCAGTTGCTTCATTTACTATTATTTTCTCCCATTCTGAAGGCTGTCTTTTCATCTTGCTTATAGTTTCCTTTGTTGTGTGAAAGCTTTTAAGTTTAATTCGGTCCCATTTGTTTATTTTTGCTTTTATTTCCGTTACTCTGGGAGGTAGGTCATAGAGGATCCTGCTGTGATTTATGTCAGAGAGTGTTTTGCCTATGTTTTCCTCTAGGAGTTTTATAGTTTCTTGCATTTAGATCTTTAACCCATTTTGAGTTTGTTTTTGTGTATGGTGTTAGAAAGTGTTGTAGTTTCATTCTTTTACAGGTGGTTGACGAGTTTTCCCAGCACCACTTGTTAAAGAGATTTTCTCCATTTTATATTCTTGTCTTCTTTGTCAAAGTTAAGGTATCCATAGGTGCATGGTGTGGGCCTTCTATTTTGTTCCACTGATCTATATTTCTGTCTTTGTTCCAGTACTATACTGTCTTAATGGCTGTAGCTTTGTAGTATAGTCTGAAGTCAGGCAGGTTGATTCCTCCAGTTCCATTCTTCTTTCTCAGGATTGCTTTGGCTCTTCGAGGTTTTTTATATTTTCATACAAATTGTGAAATTATTTGTTCTAGTTCTCTGAAAAATACTGTTGGTAGCTTGATAGAGATTGCATTAAATCTGTAGATTGCTTTGGGTAGTATACTCATTTTCACTATATTGATTCTTCCAATCCATGAACATGGTATATTTCTCCATCTATTTGTGTCCTCTTTGATTTCTTTCATCAGTGTTTTATAGTTTTCTATACATAGGTCTTTTGTTTCTTTAGGTAGATTTATTCCTAAGTATTTTATTCTTTTCATTGCAACGGTGAATGGAGTTGTTTCCTTAATTTCTCTTTCTGTATTCTAATTGTTAGTGTATAGGAATTTGACCCAGTTCTAATGAGTTGGATGAAACTGGAGCTTATTATACAGAGTGAAATAAGTCAGAAAGAAAAACACCAATACAGTATATTAACACACATATATATATGGAATTTAGAAAGATGGTAATGATGACCCTATGTGTGAGACAGCAAAAGAGACACAGATGTAAAGAACATATTTTTGGACTCTGTGGGAGAAGGTGAGGGTGGGATGATTTGAGAGAATAGCATTGCAACATGTATATCATCATATGTGAAACAGATCACCAGTCCAGGTCTGATGCATGAGACTGGGTGCTGAGGGCCGGTGCACTGGGGTGACCCTGAGGGATGGGATGGGGAGGGAGTTAGGAGGGGTGTTCAGGATGGGGGACATATGTACACCCATGGCTGATTCATATCAATGTATGGCAAAAACCATTGCAATATTGTAAAGAAATTAGCCTCCAATTAAAATAGATTAACTAATTAAAAAAGAAAAAAAGGATTAATATGGTAAATTTTATGTTATGTGTTTTTTAACCACAATAAAAATGTGGCAGGATTCAGAAGAGCAGTGAGTCTGACTGACAAGACAAAAATAATGAAATTATATCTTCAATAATACCCATTTACTCTTTCTTTTACTACTCTTGCCTATATCTGATGTTTCATATTCCTCAGCTTTATTTATGTTAATTCCAATCAACATGCTATTCTATAGTTTGTTTCTTAATTCATTTCCATTTCATGTTTCAGAAAACTCTCACTCCTAGGTGATATCCATCAATTAATCAGTTTCCTTCCAACATTGCTCTATGAGGATAAATATATATGGAGAGAAGAAATTGAAAATGATCATAAAAGAGAGAGGGACAATGTAGGTTTATTTTTAACTTTTTGAGGAACTTCCATACTATTTTCCATAATTGCTGAGCCAATTTACATTCCTACCAACAATGAGGGTTCCTTTTTCTCCACATCCTCGTGAACACTTGTTATATGTTGTCTTTTTGATAATCAGCATTCTGCAGGTGTGATGTGGTATACTGTGTTTTGATTTATATTTGTCTGATGATTAGTGATGTTGAGCATCTTTTCATATGTCTGTAGGTCATCTGTATGTATTCTTTAGAAAAATATTTATTCGTGTCTTCTGTCCATTTTTATATCAGGTTCCTTCTTTGATCTTGAATGAATTCCTTGTATGTTTTTGATATAGACTCCTTATTGAATATACCATCTGCAAATATCTTCTCCGATTCAGTAGTCAGCCTTTTCGTTTTGCTGATAGTTTCCTTCAATGTGCAAAAACTTTCTAGTTTGATGTTCTAACTTTTTATTTTGCTTTTGTTTTCTTTACTTAAGGAGACAGATCAACCTCCCTAACCCCCAAATATTGCTAATAGCAATTCTTAGAGTATGCTGCTTGTTTTCTTCTGGGAGATTTTATGGTTCAGATACTAAATTTAAGCCTTTTATCCATTTGAGGTTTTTGTATATAGTGTTACAAAGTGGTCCAGTTTTATTCTTTTGCATATAGCTGTCCTGTTTTCCAGCACCATTTATTGAAGAGAGTGTCTTTTCCCCACTACATATTCTTGGCTCCTTTATTGTAAACTAGTTGACCATAGAAGTTTTATTTTGGGGGGAGCTCTCTATTCTGTTTCAAAGATCCGTGTGTCTGATTTTGTGCTGGTGCCATAGATTTTTTATTTTTATAGCTTTGTAATATGGTTTGAAATCAGTGAACATGACCCTGCCTGCTTTATTCTTCTTGCACAAGAATGTTTTGGCAACTTTGGGTCATTGATGTTTCCAAATAAATTTTAGACTTGTTTGTTCTAGGTCTGTGAAAAATGCCATTAGTATTTTGATAGAGATTATATTGCATCTGTAGATTGTTGGGTAGTATGCACAATTTTAACAATATTTAAAAATATGCATATTTTAATAATATGTCCAATCCATGAGCATGGAATATGTTTTCATTTATTTGTATCTTCTTCAATTATTTTTTATCAGTGTAGTTTTCAATAAAAAAGATTTTTCACTTCATTGGTTACATGTATTTCTAGGTATTTTGTTCTTTTTGATGTAATTATATTTGGGATTGTTTTCTCAATTTCTCTCCCTGATTGTTTTTCCTATATATAAATACAACAGATTTCTGTATATTGGTTTCTGTATCCTGAAAACTTACTGAATTTATTTATTAGTTCTAATTTTTTTGTGTGTGGTGGAATCTATAGGGTTTTCTGTATATAGTATCATGCTACCTGCAAACAGTGGCGGTTTTATTTCTTCTTTTATTATTATTTTTTAGTCTTGTCTGATCTCTATGACTATGATTTCCAATAATATGTTGAATTAATGTGGCATTAGTGGGCACTCATCATCTTCTTCCTAATCTTAGAGAAAAACCTTTCAGTTTTTCATCATTGAGTATTTATGTTAGTGATGTGTTTATTGTATATAGTCTTTATTCTCTTGAGGTTTATTTCCTCTATACAAACTTTGTTGAGAGGTTTTATCATAAAAGGATGTTAGATGATATGGTTTCTTGAGTTATATGTATGTTTTCATCACCATCATCACCATTAACATCATTATTATCTTGATTATTTAGCAAGTGTGAAGAATATATTATCAAATATTGGTCATTTAAAATGTGAACAGTGCTGCATAAGTACAAGCATGCCACATTTTATTGTTCTTTACCGATAGTGTTTTTCACAAATTGGAGGATTGTGGCAATAATGCATACGGCAAGTCTGTTGGTGCCATTTTCCCAACAGCTTTTTCTCACTTAGTGTCTCTGTGTCACATTTTGGTAATTTTCATAATATTTCAAACTTTTTCATTATTATTATATTTGTTATGGTGATTTATACTCAGTGTTGATCTATAATCAGTGATGTTATTACTATAATTCATTAAGGGCTCAGATGACAGCTAGCATTTTCTAGCAAAAAATGTGTTTTTAACTTAAGGTATATATATTGTTTTACCCAAAATGCTGTTACATATTTAATAGACTACAATATATTTTAACAAAGCTTTCATATGCACTAGGAAACTAAAAAATTCATGGGACTTGGTTTTCTGTAATATTCATTTTATTGCAGTGGTCTGCAACTGAACCCATCTTATCTCTGAGGTATACCTGTAATTAATGCCAGTCTTATCCCTAATAATAATAACATCTTTCATATTTTCTCAGTTATCAGTATTTCAGCAGCAGCCCTGTTGACTGGATCGATGGATGGAGGGAATCACTCGGTGGTGTCTGAGTTTGTGTTTCTGGGACTCACTCATTCATGGGAGTTCCAGCTGCTCCTCCTGGTCTTTTCCTCTGTGCTCTATGTGGCAAGCATGACTGGGAACATCCTCATTGTGTTTTCTGTGACCACCGATCCTCACTTACATTCCCCCATGTACTTCCTACTGGCCAACCTCTCCTTCATTGACTTGGGAGCCTGCTCTGTCACTTCTCCCAAGATGATCTATGACCTTTTCAGAAAGCATAAAGTCATTTCCTTTGGAAGCTGCATTGCTCAGATCTTCTTCATCCATGCCATTGGTGGGGTGGAGATGGTGCTGCTCATCGCCATGGCCTTTGACAGATATGTTGCCATATGTAAGCCTCTCCACTATCTGACCATCATGAGCCCGAGGATGTGCATTTTGTTTCTGGCTGCTGCTTGGGCCCTTGGTATGAGCCACTCACTGTTCCAACTAGCATTTATTGTTAATTTGCCCTTCTGATAGCAATGAAGAGAGCTTTCAGACCACTCATGATTTTTAGAAAGATTTCATAAATAGTTTTAGAAGGATTTTTATCCTGATCATGTCACCTGTATCTGGAATTTTAGAATTAGCTTTATTTTGTTCGTTAGAGATTAATTTGAGTATTACCACACTCTTTAAGGATGCTCCTATTCCTTAAAAATAATGAAGATTTAAGCAAATAAACCTTAATTGAAAACTTATGTTGATTTATATGGGATTGCACATATGTGTACTAATTATAATCATTTCTTTCTAGCTAGATCTTTGCTTTTCTTTTCTCTTGTGATTATAAATTTATTATTATTTCAATATATCCATGTATTTGCTCATCATCTGCCTCTTGAGGTAACTAATATGCTAATTATTTATTTGCCATTAAATCTAAGTAGACTATGAAAAGATGGATATGAGTATTACAGTCTCCTGAGACTCACTGAACAAAACAACAGCAGTAACAACAAAGAGATATAATGCAAAAGTTGATACAGACATTTAAGTCAAATCATAAAAAATACACAAATAATCTGAAAAGGAAACAAAAAAGTGTAAAGAAAATAATGAAAACTGGGACAAACATAAAATAAGTGATAAAATGTAAAGCTAAATGACCATTTTAATAATCTCATTAAAAATAAAGGTCTGCATACTAATTGAAAACAAGTATTATCAAATCAGGGGAAAAACCCTAAACATATGCTGCATACAAGAAACTCACTTTAAATATGATATATATATATATGTATATATATGTTATATGTAGAAGAGTGGAAATTATACCATGTAATGCTAATCAAAAGAAAATGGAAGTAGTTATATCAGTTAGAACACAGGAAACCTATATAATGCTATCAACCTATTTGATCCAGTAATCATTTGTAGAACAACCTACCTGACAACAGCAAAATGTATATTCTTTTCTCAAGTGCACATGAAATATTCTTGAAGACAGAACATATTCTGGACAGTAAAGCAGATATACCAAGTTAAAATAATTAAAATTACACAAAAAATTCTTTGAAAGTAATAGAATTAAAATAAAAATAAATTGAAGGCTATCTGAAAAAATCTCCTAATAATTGGAAATTAAACTGTATACTTCAAATAATACATAGGTCGTGAAGAAAGTGATAAGGGAAATTACAAAGTATGTGAGTTGAATGGAGATGAAAATACAATATCAAAATTGGTGGAATTCAGCTAGAGCAGTGTTTAAAAAGTTTACACAATTAAAAGCTAATATTAAAAAATAAAAGAATTATTAAACCATTAATATTTCACTTTAGGAAGATAAGAGAAAGTTAAATACAAATAAAGAGAATAAAGGAAGCAATAATGATAATAGAAAAAAAAAACTTCTTGAAAATAGAAAAGTCTATAAAGAAATAACATTGAAACCAAGAGGAAACTTTTGAGAAATATCAATACAATTGAAAGATTGCTGAGAAGATTAAAGTGTCATTATTAGAACGGGAAAAAGTGATCTCACTATACTCTAGACACATCAAGAGAATAATCATAAGATATTATAAGTAACTTATGCCCATACCTTTAATTCTAATGAAACATTTTAATTCTTGGAAAGTATGAAATATACGAGTTGACTCAAGAATAAACAAACAACTTGAATAGTCTTATATTAGCTAAGGAAATTGAATTCCTAGCTTAAACCTTCCTCCAAAATCTCTAAGTCCAGATAAATTTTACTGGCAATTTCTGTCAGACATTATGGAAGACATAATATCAATTTTACACAAATTTTTCCAGAAAATCACAGGGAGGGAACTTCCCAACTTAGTTTCTGAGATCAACATTGCTCTGATATAAAAAAAAAATACACTACAAGAAACAAAGCAAAACAAAAAACTACTGACCAATATCCACCATAAAAGAGACACCAAAATGCCCAACAAAGTGTTTGACAGTCAAAAAAGATGGGATATATATAGATGTGATAAATACATCATAACTAGGTGAGGTTTAGTCAAGGAATGAAAGGCAGGTTGAAGAGTTCAGTATCAATTGACAGAAAAAAAGATTTAAAACTACATGCTCGTCTTAATAGATGTAGAAAAAAACATGACAAAATTAAATACCCAGGATCTTCCTTGGTGGCTCAGTCAGTAAAGAATACACCTGCAGTGCAGGAGACTTGAGTTCACTCCCTGGGTCAGGAAGATGCCTTGGAGANACTCTATGGACAGAGGAACCTGGTGGGCTACTGTCCATGGGGTCTCAAGAGTCAGACACGACTTAGCAACTAAACGACTATTCATGATAAAAATTCTCAATAAAGGAAAAAAAGAATTTCCTTAATCTGATTAAGACTATCAACAAAATTTTAGAGCTAACATTATACTCATTGGTGAAAGACTGAATGTTTTCAGTCTAAGACTGGGAACAAGGTGAAGATGTGCATCCTCACCACTCCTACTTATTATCACATATATCCCAGCCAGTTGAATAAGGCAAGAGAAGAAGAGACATGCAGTTTAGAAAGGAAGAAATAAAATTGTCTCCATGCATTAAAGATAAGATTTTCTATATAGTAAATTCTAATGAAAGTGTAAAACAAGCTTCAAAAACTGAAGTGAGTTCAGTAAGGCCACATGATTCATGTCTATATATAAAATTCAGTTGTATTTCTACATATTGGAGATGAATAGTTGGAAACAAAATATTTATTTTAAAGATGCCATTTATGATAGCACTTATAAACATGGAATACCCCACTATAGATTTAACAAGTGTATGCTGATAATTACAAAACACTGATGCAATAAATCAAAAAAGAGATAAGGTGGCTCAGATGGTAAAGAATCTGCCTTCAATGCAGGAGACCTGGATTTGATCCCTGGGTTGGGAAGATTCTCTGGAGGAGGGCATGGCAACCCACTGCAGTATTGTTGCCTGGAGAATCTCCATGGACAGAGGACCCTGGCAGGCTACAGTCCATGGGGTCGCAAAGAGTTGGACATGACTGAGTGACTAAGCACATCACAAATCGTAAATTGGAACACTCTGATGTTATTCATTTGTCAGTTCTTGCCAAAGTCATCCATAGACTCAACAAAGTCCCAATCAAAACACTATCAGATTTTTAAAGATATCAACAAACAGATTTAAAAATCTTTATGGAAATGCAAAGGAACTATAATAGCCAAAATAAATTTTTAAAAAAATTATTTATTCATTTTACTTTACAACATTGTATTGGTTTTGCCATACATTGACTTGAATCTGCCATGAGTGTACATGTGTTCCCCATCCTGAAGCCCCCTCCTAACGCCCTCCCCATCCCATCCCTCTGGGTCATCCCAGTGCACCAGCCCGAGCACCCGGTATCATGCATCAAACTTGGACATTTGAAATAAAAAATTTGGATTGATGATAGGTTTAGAAGGGGTAAGAGGATTAGTTGGAGACAAAGGGTGGTAAATGTGTATGTATATGTATTTATATACAAGTGGATACAGACATCCACAATTTTATGGCCTGCCTTTAGAAAACCACTTAACCAAGAATTGAGCTTCCCTGACAGCTCAGCTGGTAAACAATTCTCCTGCAATGCAGGAGACCTGGGTTTAATCCCTGGGTTGGGAAGATCCCCTGGAGAATGGAAAGTGGATTCTGGCCTGGAGAATTCCATGGACTGTATAGTCCACGGGGTCACAAAGAGTCGGACACGACTGAGCAATATTCACTTTCACTTAACCAAGAATAGAGAAATGTATCATTGTAGCCACCCTACTCTCTCTGTGTGTGTTGTAGTAAAATATATTATAAACATAAAAATGTTTAGAAAAGTTAATGTTATGTGTGTAATTCAGCATATTCACACTAGTATAACTATCACCACTAGCTAGCCAGAATTTTATTATTCCCAACTCCATACCTCTTAAACGGCAAGTCCCCATTCCTCCTACCTTTTAACCTTGGCCACTATTCTACTTCTTGTCTCTACGAATTAGACTGTTCTAGGTACCATGTGTAAGTGGAATCAAAGAGCATTTGTGCCTTTGTGCTAGGCTTGTCTCCAAGGTTTGCCCTATTTGATTAAGAAGGGTAGCTCTCTGTTACCATTGACTAGTGGCGACAACTTCTCTGGGGTGAAATACTTGGTTTGATCATGTCCAGGGATGCCTATGATAAAGAAACTTTATAAATATTCAGGTTAATCAAGCAAGAATAATGTCTGTTTTCATAAACACTGGCACTTGAGCAGATCGGCAAAGTTCAAAATTATAAAAGGAGAGCTTTATGTATACATTCTGCATATGTGCATGGCAATATTTTGATTCTAGGAGGAATATCAAACTTCTGTTTATGTAGGAAAGTTTACCAAGTTCCTACTATATTAAAGATATCAAGAGAATGAGGTAAAAATAGTGTTCTCAATAAAAACAATGTGAAAATTGTGTTTTTTATGTCCATTATCAGCCATTATTATGATCTCTAAGATATTATATATAATAAGATAACTTAAAAGGGTTAAAAACTGGTTTTAAAATAAATGGTTTACAAATATTATTTGTAGGAAGAAAGTCATTTCTACTCTAGGGGAAGCACTGTGGTTTCATACAGTGGAAAGGATATTAAGAACAATATAATTCTGGCAAAATAATGCTTAGAAATTGAAAGGCACCTTACAATCTATAGATGGAATTGGGTAAATTGNTTTTTATGCATCTATTGAGGTAATCATTTGGTTTTTATCTTTCAATTTGTTAATGTGGTATATTACATTTATTGATTTGCAGGTATTCTTATATTATATATTTTGTGTTTAAGTTGAATATTATTGTAATGTCAACATAGAAATGATTAGATGATTAAACATTTTAAAGGACAATTTAAAAATGCTGCTGTGGCACTTACCTTTAATCATCATAAAGTTTAAAATAGCTCTAAAACATGTTCAGTGGTACCTTTGTCATAAGAAACCTGAGTGTTTCTCATTTTTCCTCATTAATAACTTC